GCTTCAGCCAGCAGTCTGAATTAAATTCCACTTGCACGTACATTTCCGATTCAATAATAATTCGAATTGATATACTCGTCGAAATTTTTTGCCCCGCGTTTGCGTCAGGCATGATTAATGTCTTGCGCTTAATTAAAAACTCGCGTGTTTCGTCGTCCGTGAAATAAAATTCGTCAAAAAGAAATTAGTAACCATCGCAAATTATTCGATGACGTACCGAATAGTCTACAAGCTTCTGATATAGGAATGAATTTCGCTCGGCGGCAGAGCGAAAGAATTTCATCTCGTGAAAGATGCTACTTCGGACGGAATGATTCAATTCTGAGGACTAGTGTGTTAAACGTTTTTCGCTCGCAGTTTTGAAATATTCGTCGAGGAAGTTACATGCTTCGAAGAAGTCATGCTCTGTTAGAACACATAATAAAATACAGAACATACCGATACTTGAATCCGAAGTATTCCGCGGATTTTCGACGCGATTTGCAAGATATTTCCGACTTAAATTGAGATCAAATCGAATATCCAAATCCGTCAAACAATCACAACAGAATAGTAATAATCAAGAAGAAAAGAGTCAGTGGTGTTTATACTACATTTTTACAGAGTTTTATCAATTAAAACGGTTCGTCTCCATAAACGTTCAGTTCCTCCCTCGTTTCACGAACCGGAGGGAGAATAAATATGTCGCGAATCATTTCCTACCATCAGCTTGTAGAAGTGGAATTTTTACGACGGTCAACCTATTAAACGTGTTGCTTCCAGTTAGAGCATGCGCTATCATGACGCTTCGGTAGCAAAAAATATAACAAGGAAAATGTTGATCCTCCCTCTCTAAGAATTACAGCCATAACGCGGTTGTCGGCCAAGAAAATTGACGAGGGAAATGTATCGAAAGTTATAAGCACACTAGCATGGTTTTCTCACGCATTCCATCGGGGTCGTTCCTTCCAGGCTTTGAGTAGCTCGTTATAGAACGCGGTACACGAGAAGCGGAAGATGGAATGCGTTTTAGGTATGCGTTTCTTGCTTTACGTCAGATGAAAACGGGCGAGGGGTCAGCTCCGTCGTAAATTTCACATAAAAGGTATTGTTGCCCGCGCAACACTTTTAAAAAAAGAATCCATGCGTCGATAGTTCCCAAAGATGATATTACCGAATTTAACGATTCTCGAAAATAGAATTAACCGCGACGTTAACTATCCGCGTTGTTCCCGCGGAATATTCTTTTTCCTTTTTAATTGATACCGAGAGTAACGTCGAGGCAGGAACAGGTAACGATTTTAACAGGATCATGTGGCGCGATGCAACGAGCCGACTGGAAATTTTCTTCTTTCGCCTCGGGAACGAATCTAGAGAAGACTCCGAACGAATTAAAATAAAGGAACATTCACCTATCTCTTACAAATTACTACGGAAAATGGGATAGCCTAATTAGATTCGACCTTCTACCGGTCGTCCTGGTCCTGGCTTCTCGGAACCAGGTATAAAAAGAACCTGTTAAAGGGTTGTAAAACGTACCGCGAATGAATGAGGGAATGCTCGGACGTTCTATCTAAGGGAAAAATGCGAAACGTGTGTTCGAGGAGTTACGATACGATAACCGAAAGATAAAACTACGGGGCGCACGTGTATGTATTTTCTAAGCATTGCAAATTAGTTTTTCAGTAATACGTTTGCGAGCGAACGGGCTCTTATATATTAAGTAAACACGATGACGGAAAAATTGGTACCGCGCCAGCTACCTACTTTCTTTAATTGCGTTCCCGTATTCATATACTTAGACGTGTATTTAATTTTCTTAAGTTATCGGACCGAATCCTGGCGACGTTAATAACTTGCCTCCATCGACGACTCTTATGTTCAAACACTGAACCTGCAGTAATTATTTGTGCTAACGATTCCGACGGTCCTGGCTCGTTAACATTTTCAAAGAAACCTTGTACACTTTGAGGAGCGACACGAAACGGAATCATAGCCGAAACGTATCCGACTAGTCCGGTTTTTATCAAGGTTTCGGGACAGGATTACTACCGTCGTCGTCGTCCTCCTTTAAGCTGCATTTAACGACGTATAATTAAACGTGCACATGACGCTCGACTCTGCATTCGTAAACCTTAAAGGGCGATTAAAACTAGGGAAAACAGAACCGGCCGGCGAAGTTTGTATCCAAACAGTTGACTTTCCCGATTGCATTAGTCCTGGTTAATTATTACTTAACGGATTGGATAATGAAAAAAGCTGAAAACAGCCCGTTGAACGGTATCTAATTGGGAGGCCCCAATTAAAACGTAATGCTCCTGACCCGAATCGGTGACATCGTAATCCGTAGATCGGTCGACCGATTAATTGACGGAGATTGATTCGAGAGCGTAGCCCACGGAATACTAGTGGAACTTCCAGGGATTTCAACGCCCGGTAAAATCCTGCTGAGATTTTCGATGGACATTTGGAGACAGATGTTTGACAAAAATTGCATTTCATCTGCGTCGCGACAATGAGATTTCCGCGGAACATGCTCCCATGATCAGCCGCAATCGGCCCCATCATGTGTTGCGTAATACGATTTTTAAATGAACGACGTTAACGATGACAATTCGTTCGAAAAGCGAGATTCGGACGGTTCGCTAATGAGACACGGGACAGACAGAGGCTGCGGATTAGATTTTCACTACACCCTCACACGCCCTAAGGAAGCTGTCAAGTCCTGAGTAGATGGTAATCAATCAAGAGTAGGTCAGATAAGTGAAACGATCGTAAGATGTATTTTTTAACCCAATTGTTGCAGTTTCCAATGATGGGAGGGAACGTGCCATGACTTACATGAGAAAACAACATTCGACACGATTTTTGAAATGCATAAATAATATACCAATTAAAGCAGGCAACCGTGAAAGTGACGACTTGACTCGAAATACAAAATTCACTAAAAAATAAGTGTACTATAAAAGTGTACTAAAAAATAAAATGAAACTCAAATTAAAGAATCCAACAATGAAGTGGTCAATAAATAGTCTACCGAAATCTCAGCTCTAATTGTAAGCGATGGAACGTGATACTAATCTCGTCAGAAAAGTTAAGAGGCTGACCCGCACTACTGTGGCTTGGTTAAAGTGGCACACTTGCAGAGGGCGGATGAATGCATGACAAACCATCTACTTCCCGACAAACGAACTATGCCTGGCTGTACAAAAGCGTTTCATTCACAATCGGGTAGGGCAGAAGTTGCCCTGCGGCTCATTCTTTCGCAGTGGTGGTATCTGCCTACTGATCTTGTCATTTGTCTCGTCGCACGAGATGCTCCACGCCCGGAATCTCGAGTTCCCCGTGCTAGGAACACTCGCCGACGATAATGGCACGCCGAGAATGACGGGGAACGCGGGAAACTCCTACGGTTCGTCCTGTTCTGACAAACGACAATGCTGAAACGTTCCAAACTCGATACTCGAGCGAACGGGCCGAAGTGTCATCGAGAGACTGATACTTGTAAAAAGAGTATCCACTACAAATGTCAAGAGATGTGTGTAAATCTATTGGACGATCCAACATTCGACACAAAATTGATTACAATATCTATTGGCCTCTGACAATTGAAATTGAACTCCGTTCGTAATAATCTCTAATATAGACTTGAGTTAATAGTTTGATTAAAGATCATCGTATTGAATTTGCACGCAAATTCGCGATACCGACAGTTTCTACGTAATCGATGTGATAGGGGAAACTATACAATGCTCTACAACCCCTTTGATCATTCCAATCTCAATAGTTGTTACATACCAGCGGTAAATTCCATAGAATTTGTTGAGCCACAGAAATGCCACATTTACTTGAAACCGATAATAATTGCACAGTAGGATTCGGTATCAGAAAGGTGGTGGGCCGAGCAACAAGTTAAAACGAGGGAAATGGAGTGTGCTCGGGCTGCTTTATCTGGCAAGCAACCGGCACGTCGCTTCGCAATTTGGAGCATAGCAAGGAATGCACGTTTAAGGACTCTCACGGATATGAGCATCATCGATTTGCATTACCATATTAAACGGATGGTTCCACTCTGTTGTGGGACACATACCTGAAATTACGTATCTGGCAGTGCATCAAATTCCCCGCCTCTCCAATCACTGCTTTACTTTCAACGAAATCTTGAAGTCAGATTGAAGTGAAATTTCTTTTACCTGATACCGTGCAAAGACTGTATTTGCGAGAGGTGTAACGAATCGTTTGCTAAACCCTGATGCTGCAATTCTTTGATGCAAAAAATCATCACAAGGAGCTTAAGCGGAGGTCTGAAGAGATATACGTTAAACGAAGTAAAAGAAAGTTGCATTGGTGGATCGCTTGATGACAGAAAAGGATATAGTAACGTGCAAACAAGCGTAAAGTTAGATAATTGTGCGCAATTAAAGGCGCCACCGTGGCGTATTCACAGATTGAAAAAGCCAATGGAAAGTCTCCACGAGTTGTTGCAGTGCCACGAAATTCTCACTTCATCGTTCACGAATCTACGAAATTTTTACAGACAAAACGAGTGCACTATAAAAAAAATTCCTTCTTCATTGCTAACATTTCTAACGTGCCCTCGTTAATCGAATGTCTTCGGAGTTATTTCTCCTTCCGCAGAAAATGCATTTCTGCAACGCGCATTTCTCCGCGCTGCGAAATGTAACAAAGAATTCAGAGGATTTCTGCTGCCAAAAGTTTTAACTCTCTTTCCTGTCCTATATAGGCTAATATCATATTCTTCTACCGAACGGAACTAGCCGTGTAATTTCAATTCCATAAATTCAATTAATACACTTTTATCTCAAACTGTTATTTCAGGAAGAGAAAAACGATTTTATATGAAACAAATATTACTGTCTTTCCTTCCGACTGATTAAAGTTAGACGTCTTCAGAAGAGTTAAGACAGTAACCAAGAAAGGGAAACTATGCCAATGGTGACGAAGGTCAAAGACAGAATGAGAATAGTTGGAACACGAAACTGAGGCGAAAGAACACTTACCATTAGTAACTTGACTTTGTTAACCAAAGGGGATGTCGTAAGGAACTTGTTGACGGCCGTCAATATTTTCCCTTCCAACGTGACAGCGTTTCCGGCGTCTCGTTCTTGCGAACATCCGGGCCTGATGTCCGCTTTCCCGGGGCTGGGCAACAACCCCCGGCAGTCTCGCGCGAAATCCCTCTTCTTCAGTCTCCTCGCGGGCCCTCGTGGCTCCTCTTCCTTTACAACTGTCGCTTCTTCAACAATCACGCTTTGCGTCCCTTTCTTCGATCAGCATCAAACGCAACTACCTCAATTTTATGTCGTTAATCCTTTTAAAATATTCGTTTTATCGCGGAACACCTGACCGCTTATCCTTTTCGAGTCACAGTTTCTTAGTCGAATTTGAAAAACGACTTCGAAGGAAACAAAGGTTTTTCTCTTGACACTGTTGTGACAAAAGTAGACCTCGACACTTTAGGTTCAGCGAAAAATAGCCGAAACTCTACAATTTACTACTACCATTAAAACCTGGTATCAGGGGGTACCAACTTTTTATGCTACTATTCTCGATGAAAAGTATCGCGTTTATTTTTTACAGTTCCCTAAATCAGATGGGTTCGCTTCGAGTGTCGCTATATTTCGTAAGTCCGTCTAAGGATTGGTTAATATTGAAGGGTTCTTAGGGTCCCGGCGGTGCCGCGTTCTCGACATGAACTGAAGTCCGGAGTCCGGAGCGGGCCGATGGATGCTGCGAGTCGCTCCAGAGGCAGAAGAACGCGCGCGCGAGAGAAAGCCGCGCGTGTCGAAGGGTGGAAAGAGACAAGTCGCGACGAGGAGGGGAACGGTGACTGTGCGAGGGTGAGAGAAACGGCCAGGAGGGAAGGGGTTGATACGTGAGGGGGATTGAGAGGGGGGCTGGCCCTATTCAGGGAGGGAGTGAATGGATGGGAATGGTAGGTTCGCTGAGGGTAGAGTTTCAACAAACGCCACTAGTTGCTGGTAACCCTTGAATGTTTACGCGGCCGACGTTCTAGCCCAGTTGACGATCTCCCTCGTCGATCCCGCTATGCATTTTTTACCATCCAGAATCTGAATCAAGATTTACCGTTTCTTTTGCACACCTCGAACGCCAATCTAGGATATCGAGCTTGAATAATTCATCGGCAAAGTCGAAATGATGATATTCATGTAATTTATTGTCCAGTCACATCCTACACAGGCGAATTCGTTGTTACGGAAAATAGTGAGACGCTGTATTCGAGGATGGTCCTTTTGTTTCGATCTCTTTGAGTAAAAATTGAAGGAAAAAATAGAGAGGAGACAATGGTGTGTCAAAAATATTTCCATTGTCCGGATGCTCGGTCGTAAATGTTCGATAACAAAAGAAATGTCACGAGCGTCGAAATTTTCACCAACTTCGTCCTGTTTTTTTTATCGAAATCGTATAGAGAGCCAATAATAATTAGTGGCTTGTAATTTAAATTGTAAAAACCGAACGAAACATTTTTCAACAAATTTTCAATTCTATTCTATGATCTCAGTAATTATGGTAATTAGATCATTTTACATTGTAACATAAAAGAACGCATCCAGCATAAAGATAGATAAAAGCATAAGAGAATAGATAATGAAGTTCAATTAGCGGCCTGTGAACATAGACCGGCAATTTGGCTGGTATCCAAGGGGATGCAAATTCGGTCTTCATTCAGTGATATCGCGGTCATTTAGTTGTATTGTAACAAAGAAGAAAAGAAAGTAGCTCAAGTTGAGTTCGTCTTAAGTCACTTGCTTCGACTCGTTCTTATGTAGGGGGAAAATACGTATTCTCTTCGAGCTGACGATTACAAGCAACCGACCACGTTAATGTAGGCCTCTTAACTTTTGATGAGATTTTATGTAGGCCCAAGTGCTACCTCGAAATCTCCGCACCATATTAAAACGTAAATTATGTTAGGGCCGTTTGCGTCATCATTGAGTTTCTCGAGGAATAATGGATACTTCGATCTCACTATCCCCTTTGCATCAAGCTTATAAAGAATCAACAGAAGAACTATTTGCACTATTTAAATGATATAATCAGAATATTGATCACAATTTGGTGATTATTCTATTTTAATTAAGGAGAAATATAATATAAAATAAGAATACAAAGAATTTAGAAGAGTTATTCAAATATTATTACAAGTACAGTGTTTAAAATTAAGTAATTTAGTAGAAGAATTTTGATCGTTTGATAAATTGTGAATTGCTAAATGATGTGCACATTGCACGTATCTATTTAGCACGAGAGGTGGAAAGTTCAAAATGGTATCAGTGCTGCCACCTGCTCAGATTTTCTTAAACATAAACAAATATATCGACGAGAAGTAACGTCACGTGTTATCAACTATTTGCATAAATTACAATATTCCCGTTCATGTTTGTTGAATATTGATGTCATGCCACTAACATTTATTTGCAGTTAGGAAAATACATTGTACGTTATTATTCTATACAAAAGAGTCAACCGTATATTTATCATTTTCTCTACAGCAGCGTTATTATAAATTATAGATCCTATTTCTGTTTTTGCATTTGTCAAAAGTAGTTTTCCTCGCGTAATATCACAGGTATAGGTACTCAAAGTGCGATTGATAGAACCATGGTTCTTTCGTGAAGGCTTTTCAAACATTATCGTGGTTTCCTTATATATACATACGTACTATTACGTACATATAGTATATGTGTACACATATTTACGACGCGATTGGCAATCTTATCAGTAATTTATCAGAATAAACACGAACGTCCGAGTGCACTGTATATGTGTAAACTTTCTTACGATATTCAGTAATTTTAAAACGCGGATCAATAAAAATACGTACCATCTTTTCCTCTACGTCGTTCCCTACGCGAACGAAAACAAAGAAATCGATTTTTCGTGTTTACGAGCTTACTATTCGCGTGTCGTTCCGTCGCCGTTCATTTAAACAAGTTTATCGATCGGCGAAATATTGAAATCATTGTTTATTGTCCGGTGGGCGGAGCGCCATTGCCAGAATCTGTTGCATTTGTATCCGAACATCGAGCTTCTTCTCTTCGGGTACCTGCCGGATGGTCGGCAGTAGCGAGAGAAGAAACATCTTGTCGTAGTCCTCTTCATCGTATGCGACGCGCTGGCTGCTGTGCGACGACAGGATGTCGTGGATCTCGTTATCGAAAGGCGCGAACGATGTCTCGCAAAGCTGCTTCGGATAACGGGGATACATTTTGTAGGACGCACCCGGTTGGAGGTATTCTCTACCAGTCGCGATTGAGGGTGCCGCGTGGGTCAACGGCACATCGTATTCCTCGATCACCGGATTGTCGACCTCACCCTCGCTCTCCTCGGATTTGCAATTATTCAACGTGCTGCCGGCGCTTCTGCAACGATCACAGAACGCGTCAGCTGGCGAAATTTCAAATGCGCGGATGCACGCGCACACGGCGGATACCAACCGTTTATTCTCCACCGTCGGCATTAGGAACAACAGCTGATCGAAGTACATATATTTTTTTCGCTTACGACCAGCTGGCCCTAATTTCTGCGACTTCTGGAGCTTCAGTTCTTTCATGAAATAGTCCCGGATATTCCTCCACTTCCCGCGCAAATTTTTCTCTGCAATTTATCAGATCATGGACGGGCATCAATATCGATTCGCCGATTAATTGGGATTCCGGAAAGAATTATTTTTTCGATCGATCAGAGAAACAGGAGGGGCGCGAGCTGTCCTAGTATGAATTTTTACTCAAGATTATATAAGCGACCAACTTGAGCGGGGACGAAAAAACGATTCGGATTAATTTTAAACGACTGCGGGTACACGGTCACGGCGGCATGTGCCAGTGTCGAGCGAGTCCGAGTAGAGGAATCCGGATCGATCGATCGCAAGAGGCTGGTATACCTTCCACGTTTCTCTCCTCGTCCGTCAAGCGCGCCCAATTCGGTACCATCACCTGGCAGACCTCGTCCCACGCGGTCATCTTGGCGTTACGGTCGTTGTACTCGCTACGATTCACATCGTAAATCGCCGGCCTCTTCTCAATTTCTTCTATAAACTTTTCCGTATCGAACATGTCGGATATCGCGCGCGAAGATCAGAACCACCCCCGAGATCTTTTTCCCCCCACTCGTTCCCGTGCTCTCTTCGCTCTCGTTCTAAGGAAATTCCCGTGGGGAAAAAGAAGGAGAGCCACGCGTCGGAGGGAAAGAGAAATCGACCGTCGGATACCGATTACGAAAAAGAGGCTTACACGACGCGACTAAGAGACTATACGATCGCGTTTCAACGAGCGTACGAGAAAGATACGGGTGTATCGATTCGGATTAAGCCAACCGTGTGCATACGATCGCGCGAGCTGCCCGACATTCGCGGTCAATGAATGTAGGATTCATATCGCGCGAGCGATTCCCGTGGTCGGTCGAGACCGAAAATCGTGGTGGCGTGAGCGTTAAGAATCGCGAAAGAATTTTTGGACGGAACGCGTTACGATCGCCGCAAGCGTTTGTCGGCGGCCTATTCTGTGCTAACGCCGTCGCCGGCAGCTTGCGCGTCACTGCGGAGAAACCGTTGCACAGGCTACAAGCTTGGTCTGGCATCATGGCGCCTAGCCTGGCGTGCGGTTGCGGTTGCGGAGCGGAATCTATGCCGCTGCTATGCCGCAGCGTTGCCAAATCTACCCGGCGGTCAGCCGAGCCTCAAAAGACGACGACGCGACACGACGCGACGCGGCGGAACCCGCGAGAACGCCGCCGTGCGCGCCGCGTCGCTCCACGCTGCACAGAGCGCGATCGCCACCTTTCCTCTCGACACGAGAATGTGTGCGCACCGCCGTCCTCGTTGGCCGGTCGTGTTGCTGCCGTCGCATTTTCAATGCGGTTGTGATACTCGCACGCATCGACCGTACCGGATTTATAACGACGCCGGTCGAGAGAAACCGGCGCGATCGCTCGGGACCGGTTGTACAAAAAAGATTTATCGCGATGCCCGTACGCGAATAAACGCGTTTATATATAGATTGAATCAGAAAATCGTCGGTATTCGACGCCTGAATTACGCAATGCACGGATGAAAAATGAATCTCTTAAAGCAGAGTTACTTATTGAAAATAAATGTAGATGTAGATTTCTAAGCGCTTCTATATAATGCAGGAAGCATCGGTGGTTTCCTTCCTAGTCGTTATGCGGAATTCGTCCAGGATCCGCTGATCGAACATTCTATGCAGGCATCGCCTATAAGCGTTAGTTGCTAGTTAGGCTGCCATACGATCGTAGACACTATTGCTAATTGTAAGAGCAAATGGAAGCGGACGCGCCGCGGCCACGTCGACGCGTTTCTACCGCTCCGTTATCGACCATGTCAACTCGTTTGACGAACCTACCGAAATAGATGTAGAATGGCCACAGAGTGAGATGTCATAGTTTCTTATCTTTCGACTTGCCATTTAGTTACGTGTGCCGTTTCCTGTAATATTTTAGATAACAAGGGCCGATCGAAATTGCCTTGTAACCACTTGCAACTGTACAAAACGATAATATGAAATATAGATAAGAATGTATGTGTGTTGGAATTAATGATATGCTTCATAGTTAATTGCATTCGTACTGTAAAACGCCGCATTTAGTTGATGTCTGGCGCGCAGTCGCTCATCGCCCAATAAACCGAATACTTCGATATCATCAGGTAAAGATTTGCGCATGATCACGAACGAAATATTGTAATACTGTTAAATAATTGACTATTATCATGGGTGTAGTAACATCTTCGAGCATTCAAACAATTAGATAGCGATCATAAATCAAAGTATTCTACGTGTAAACCGCCGCTGAAAGTTGTTCTGTCATACCGTTGAATTGTGATGTAAGTCTCCCGTGTATTTTTCACAATTAGTATAATGATGGTATAATTGGTACGAAGTTCGATTAGTTTCTTGCAAATTGAATCGTGTAAGTTACAAAGTACGAGAACAGGGAAAAGATCGGTTCTCTGCGTGGCAGCTGCGAGTATTCCGGGCGGGGACCGCCCAGACGCGCGAGCGAAACGGAGACGGAAGAATTTCAAATAGAAGACGAAAAGAGCAAGAGGGAAGTCGGTACGCGAAGGTTGGCGGAAGCGAGATCGATCGAGGGGAGGGTGGAAACAGGGCTCAATGAAAGGAGCGAGAGAGGCTGAATCGTGGACAAAACGGGGGAGTGAGAGGGCAAAGAACGAGAGAGGAGTGCTGTGAATTCCGACAAAGCTGTGTGTACCTTTAACGCTCTTCGTCCTCTCGCAGACTACTCAGTCGAGAACCGGCGACAAGACAGTGAACGTCGGGTCCATTGCTCGCGTTTCAACGATTCTACGCAGAAATCATCCACTTTGGGTCTACGTGGTAACTTCGGGTCACGTGCTTCCAGGCCAGACGAATTCGATCGATCCGTCATGCAGGAATTCCTTGGAAAGAAATATAAGCTGTCCAGCAGCGAGAATTTCGACGACTTCATGAAAGCGCTCGGTACGTACAATCATGATGCAAACTCATGGATCATCGGATATTTAAAACGAAAGGAGAGAATCTTACGCGTCATCATTTATCTCACGTAAACCGTGTACGGTGCAGCGCAGTGAGTCACATTCCGCAAAATTTTTCATGCATTTTCACCCGTGAGATTGTGTTACCCGGTGTTATCGTCGTCGCTGATTGACGTGACGAATTCGACGTAAATACCGCAATCGTCATGTAATATAAAAATCTGTTGCACAGAACTTAATCATGCGTCAACATTCACGACTTGATAACACAGACACTCCCGTCTGTCCGAGTGAATATTACAAGTCTGGTAGTCGGCATAATTAAATGTTCTCCTTAACATACAATATCGGATTCCCTCGAGAGTCGTATGCAAATAAAGTAGATACATGAAGTAATCGACAGATTAGAGAAATTAGAGAAACGTGGGACACGAGTAACATCGTAACATCATTAAACGAATTGAGCTTCAATAGGAATTATGAGATTATTACAATACGGCGAAATGAATCTCGGGTACGCGGTGTGCATGATTTTACGTTGGGAAGTACACATATAGCCGGTACTGTCACAAGGAAATTTAATCTGACCACAAACGAACGATCTCATTTATAATATTAGGGCCGACAGTGTATTGTAATGATAAATAAGATAATCAATTTTAATATATTGAACTATGCTCCCGCGGCTGTACAACGACCTGACCTCAGGCTTAATTCCCGCCATGTGCCACAGACGGAGACCGATTGTACTCCAATTTAGCACTTGAATTAATTTACCGGCAAGATTAATAAATCGCAATTGTCAGTCGAATCGTACTAACGTATGCTACTTACGAAATTGACTTAATAAAAATACATTGACCGCGTTACCCTATAAGACAAACTTAACACGTCCCGCGCTAAATATACGAAGTTACAAAGGAAAAATGATTATGTAGCATTGTAAATTTCCAACGATTCGACGAATGCATCCACGATATTTTCACGGTTGCAACCGGTTGTTTAATACAGTTACCGGAAATTAAATGAAAGCACAAGTTCAGCCTGATCAGCGTCGCCCACGCGTTAAAGTGGCGGCTAATACAAGCAGGGAGGAGTACACGAGTTAACGTGTATTGAACCGTGTTACGTTGGAAATATTGTAAAGCATTGAATGTGTGTTGAATCTTTATTTCTTTTCAGTATTGACGATTAAATTAATCATCCTTGTAATGATTACGTAGTATACTGGTTGTGTTACTATCGGACATTCAAATTCCTATTAAATTGTATTTGCGACGTGCGCAAAATAATACTGAAAACAAATACATGTCATGGAAATCGTATCCGATGAAACGCGATACCAGCAAACAAGATTAAGTACCCACGGCTTACGGTAACGTCAAAAGTCTTTTTAAAGATATCAGACTGGACGTTGCTTCGTAAATATGTATTATATCGTGAATCCGCGAATATTACTGGACAATTGAAACTTCAAACTTTGCACCGTATTTGTTTCTTTGAAATTCAGTTTCTTTTGTATAATTCATAAGTACAGTCCATTCGCAATATAACGTGAGGTAACGCATTGCTGGTGTTCAGACTTCGTTTTACTTTTATCGATTACGCGTCGCGTTCCAATTCTGTACAAAATGTTATCGGCCTTTCTGGGAAAACGTTACAAACTCCAAAAGAGTGAACATTTTGAGGAGTTCTTAAAAGCCGTGGGTAAGAAACCCGTTTCGTTTAAACGATTGATACTTTTTCTGACGAGAATTTTAAATCGAAAAACATGTGATCGAATCTGAGTGCTGTAGATGTTTGTAAAGCTGAGTGGGTTTAAGCCTTAAACTTTAAGGTATTCTTCGAAATCTGAATGTCCCCTAACTTGCGGTGTTCTTTCTTTTAGGCGTAGGTATGCTGACGCGCAAAATGGGTAGCAGCGTGAGCCCTGTTGTTGAATTAACAGAGAACAATGGACTTTATACCCTAAAAACGACTAGTACGTTCAAGAGTTCCGAAATAAAATTCAAGCTCGGCGAAGAATTCGACGAAGAGACTCCGGATGGAAGAAAAGTGAAGAGCGTTTGTACATTAGATGGGAATAAACTTATTCAAAAGCAAAAAGGGGACAAGGAGACGACCATCGAGAGAGAGTTCACGCCATCGGAAATGAAGGCGGTACGTATGGTTTAGAAAAAAGTATTATAAACGAATTAGAAGAAATCCGAACGAAAAGCGAATTGTCTGTTTTTATCGTACAAGAGCTTTATCGGAAACCTTTGTATCTTAACCGTGGTTATCGACGTAACTCGATTACAGAACTTAACCGTAATAAAAAATAAACCGATGAATTATATAATCTGGATCATTAAGGAATTAGGAACGCAATAGTGTTCCAATTAAATTACATTTTGTACAATGAAAGTTCCGTGTGTAGCGCAAACGAAGAGGGCGAACGCCTGATGACACTAATGATGTCTTTTGTCACTGATCGCTATCAATTACCGCGGTATGCTTCGTATACGTGACTCGAACAATTTTGTGAAGAATTGATGGAAATAAAAATTTCCTTGAAACGAAGACTAACAACAAGAGCATTATTTGTTTCTATAGAAAATAAATATTTTTTTATGTTACAGATCATGAAAGTGGATGATATTGTTTGTACAAGATTGTACAAAGCTCAGGATGAATAATAACATTCGTCTTATAATTCCATGCTTAAGGAAATAATGTTTCTGTTTATCGCAACGTTATGGATACTGTCGCAAGTTGATGCCTCTAATTAAAGGGCGATACATTTTCGGTAAATGTAAGGAAAAAACACCGTAAACACTTATTATACGCACAATAATACGTACAAACGTATGCTGATATTATTTTTGAGTAAAAGTATATTTTGCAATACAGTACGGTTTATGAATGTAATATTCATAATACTATGATGACTTATTATGTAGAGCTTTGAAAGTGTTAAAAGTTTATGTATAAATAAATAATTTTCCACATGTTTGTATGAAAACTTTTTTTTTATATAAATATAATAAAAAGAATAATACAATGAACGAGAAGCTTTAATTACAACCATACGAAGTAAGGAAACTTAAGTTTCGATGCTATCTTACTTATACTCCTAGAAACTCATTATTTGTAAAATTATTCATCGGGATCTATTACTGGAGATATCTGTGAAAATTATTTTATACATTTATACACAGCTCCTGTTTTGTGTTACACGTAATTCAATACTAAAAATTAATCCTACTTACATAATATTCTATATAACATGTATGACCTCCGTCAACTCTGACCATGTACTGAAAATGCAACAATCCGCATACATCAGTTCTTAAGGAAACTTTGTTCGCGCATGATAATGCCTTCATAGCTGGTTTAATATGTGAAACTTTATAAGTTGTCGTAGCTGTTGAGGTGCATTGGAAGCTATCAATTAGTTCACTATCGTGTGGCAATTCGATATGACAAATTCCACCTATACCAGCTGTGGTGAGACGAAAGAAAGGTGCGGAAGGTGACAGAAGCAGCTATAACGTTATTGAAATACAATATTGTAGACCTAAGCTCTGGTAAAACTGTCAAGTATTATATTAGATTGCCCACCTCAATGGTATCAGTACATAGATCAAGCTCAGACAATACATCTTTCAACAATTCAGTTTGTAATACCACCTGGTTCAAGACATCATCAACTTGAAAGACTAATAACTCGTCAGGGTCCTGAGTTTTTAATGAACAATCTGTTATAACACCATCTTCCTCAATAAGAACTGATACAGGATGTCCTTTATCCTATTTAAAATGTACTATTTATTGTATCTGCATCTACTCATCGATTTTGTGACATCTAGTTATAAGCTACATTTATTTTACTTTATAAAAGAGTTGTAAAGCCACAGAACTGCCATGAGAATTGATACTAGACCAAAACATACAAAGGCATTCAACTAGTACGTTTAAATTGATCCTGAACATTACATCTTCTTTTAACTTATACACTTCAAATACATCGACTGAAATGTAAGCACTGCCTTGTATGCATTTAGAATCCTCTACTGTTATTTTTAATCCACTCTCGCTCCCGAAACAAGTAGCACTCTAAAGAGAATACAAAGTTACTGAGTGAAATTCTTTGTCTCTTCATTTTAAATACTCAAATACTGTACCTCCTTAAAATTGATAGCTTTCAATAACTGAACTATGGTCCTAAGATTCCCTAACTTCGCAACTAAATTATATGTTTCTAATTCCTGGTACATGTTTATACGATGTTTGGTACGACAACAGACTTTGAAATCTTTTCTCTGTTATATATTGATAAGACACTTTATCTTTTGTAACAGTAGTCAGCCAAGCTGCTAAAACATGCTTACAAGTGAACAAAGATCTGTCTTGTAGCACGTGGGACCTACAAGAAAGATTTAATAAAAATCTCTAATATTAAAAGTGAAATTTCAACGAAAACATATGTACCTAAAAGAAGCACAAGTACAATAATTTACTTCAGGAAAAAGAACATATATTGTTCCCGAAAGGCCCTTAACTTGTATTAAGTGCCTGGCATTATTTCTGTTATTGTGAGATGCAACACCAGCAGTTTCAGATGGAAAAATATGAATGATACGTTCTTGTTCATATAATTCTAACGCCCTTTCAAATACACACCCAAAAATAGTGTATAAATTTTGCAGAACACGTTCGGAAACTAGAATTAATAGCATACCTATAGATTATCATTGACATGATTGCAAAACGTGATATACATACGCTGCTGTTCTTTCTCAAAACTATTAGCCGTTTCTTTTAGCACTTTATTCACTAATTTCACATATTCAATATCATAAATATTAGGCACAGCAGTATTCGTTGCCAAATCTTCATTTACATTCATGAAGACTATTATTTAGATATAATAATAAAAAAGAATTTGTCAACAATGTATGTTCAACGTCAAGAGATGCTATGAAATAAGCACTCATTCATTTTTACTGTTGCCTGTGTTTAATTCTTATAATTTGACAAAAAGTTTTGTTTGTTAATTTCAATCCTTTACCATGTACCACGTGCGTGCCTAATAATTAATATTAATCTATATGCATACAAACATATCGAAGTCACTGTATAAAATAAGACTAACTATACACAATTGCTACATTTAAGAGCCTATTTACGATTACGTATAAGTATACTGGACCTTCTGATGCCGATTCGTATTAACCTAATTAATTCACAAACAAACAATAAATAAACGATCAACTTTGTTTATTTCCAGCAGTAGTGCCAACATAACTGATAAATTAATTTCTACTATCTGTTTTGGTATTACTGATTATTTAAAATTGACAGAATTCCGTAACGTACATCGAACGTCTCTACAAGAGACGCTGTGTATACTGTGTTGTGTGAACTACCGTTTGGAAGCAAATAAATATACAATTATTTACTGTAATTAAAATTTTAATACAGATAAAAAAATGAACCAACATCGTAGACGAGCTGCGAATTTCACAGATTCGTTAATAAGTATTCGTAAGTACAGAACAAGTGATAAAATTTTAACTAAAAAAAAGTACATTGAAATGTCTCTAACTGGCAATAAAATGACTTCTCTTTTAGAACACCCTGAGATTGATTCTACTACACAATGCTCAATGTCAGAGGATAGCCTTAATGTACTTATGTCTCCAGTTGGGAGCCAATCCGCACCAGATTTAAATAAACGTATTAATGTAATTGAGACTGAGCAGTTACATACTAAGAGAGGTGTTATATATAATCCTCAATTTGATAGAACAAATATTGATGTATGTAACACATTACCAAGTGCATCTAGAAGAGGAAGTTCTAACGTAACAAATGGAAGCCCAAAAAGGGATGCTAATTATAATGTAAATCATAAATCCACCAGAATCTCGCAAAGTGCTAAACCTAAAATAACATCACTGTGGCAGCTTGTTTCTCTATTAAAATGTTCAAATAAGGAGAACTCTATCTGTGATAAGAACTGTGAAAATGATTTTGATGACCAGGAAGCAAAAAGATTTGAATCAATCCTTTGTTCACTAGATAGTCAATTATTTGAGATGAAGGAAGATGCTCAGTCATCACAAATATTGAAACGTCTATCTGACAAATATATGCATTCGCCAGAAAAGTTTACAGAGAAACTGCTAACTGTTATAGAGGAGTCTGTGATTCATGATGATGAAAGTACAGTTAATGGCTCGGCAATAGATCTAAGTAGATTAACAACAGAGTTTAGAAAGATGTGTAAATTTATAGAGGATGAGACTCCTCCAAAATGGCCCTTATCTCCCTTGTCTATGTCTTCGTACACACCAATTTCTGTTACCCCTGTATGTACTAAAACCAACAATACTGGAGTTCATAAAAATGAGAATGTGTGTTTCCCCACAGGTGCATCCGTAACTAGTACACCTCTTTCTCATACAAGTTCCCTTAAAAAGAGACTTCTTGATAAAATAGCAGGAAACAGCTATAATGGAAGTGTGGATAACGTTTCTAGCAATGCTACGTTTGAAACTCTAGAGGCCTTATGTAATAAACTATACCCGAATAAATTACGTAAAAGTTTGTCGGAGCCTTCCTTATTAGATATGAGTCAAATTCGTAATACCTGTGAGCAGCAACTGGCATCATTGAATAATTCTTCCGTAAGTCACAAAGAAAATATGCAAGATGTGTCAAGTCAATCTTCCGATAAATTAGAATTTAACTGCACAAAATTAAACGAGATGAACGATAAATCGGCAAGCACTTCGTATGACAACACGTCGTGTTCTGTGAAAACTTACAGAAAAGTAGATAATAACACAAACCGCTATACAATGGTAGATCCAGATGAATTGGAAAAGACACTATATCAAGACATAGTAGAAAAGAGAAAGAGATGCCTTGATACAGCAAGACTCATTGCAGAAATTAATGTCGATTCAGAAGCGATAGAGGCACAAAGATCGTCGCCTATGTCATTTGCCGAAAAGAACCCGTTGAATAACGAGGAAAGTAAATTTTTACAAACTTTGATGTCTTGCAAAAATTATCGAATGTACTTGGAAGAACGAAAACCTTTCTTCAAATTGCTTCGTAATTCGAATCCTAGCACACCCGAAAACAGTATTAAAAAAGCTGAAAGATGCGAAGATGTCAAAGATTTAAAGAATAAGACTCCCGGCATCGAAGAAAACGATAAACAAAGTCGAGGAGTGGAAGCGAAAAATGAATTTAAAAAGCCGAAATATTTTCGTACACCAGGAAAGACTCCGCCGAGTAAAGAATTTAGACAAAAGAAAAAATACTTTCATAGTCCTGTAAAAGAGAACATACCGGAAGAACACATTTTGAAAAGCCCACATGCGAAAGGATTGTACAGATTGAATTATACGACTGTATTATCTCCAGTGGCCATGTACATACGAGGTACAGATACGCGACTTATACAAAATGTACGTCCTAAAGCAAATTATGATTCCCTTGCACCTCAGAGAAATATTAAAGCATCGCCAAGTGGAAGCTTAAAGTTGAATACTCCAAGGAGAGGCATAGACAGATCTCAGCAGGAAACGTTGCCTAAATTTAATTTATCTCCCAAAATTGCTTCATGCAACAAACAAGTAAATATAAATATATTTGCACATACAAACCAACATAGAACATTTTTAAGGTGATTGTTCAATTTTTTTTAAGGTACTTGCAGAGAAAAACTTAGAATACGAGAGTCCATCTGATCACTTCATGCTTCCTAAAGTTTCATATAAACGTCCCTTGTACGTTAGAACGGTAAGCATTTCTCTCTCGATATAATTTTTTATAATCTATTTTCATGAAACTTTCATAAATCATGGTTTTAGATAAAAGAAAGTACCACACCTAAGCAAGGGCACCGCGTTAAAAAACTACTTGAGAATGTTGAAAGTAAAGTTGTTATCCGTCATGAAGGTACGATTGTCTCTAATCATATGAAAATATCATTTACATAATCTAATTCTACGTTTTACCTATACGAATGTATCGGTTAATAAAAATTTTAGGCCGGATAAATTCAGCGCAAAAAGGGAAAAGTACGGCAACTGAAATTAATTACGCGTCAGAAGATGAATCTATACACATCGAGACGAGAGCTAATAGAAATTTTTAATCAAGAAACAATTATATTTGCGATGTTAATATTTCATATTTTAATTACAGTTAATTCAAAGGAATACGAAATATTTTACAAAAATGAAAATTTAATTCATTCTGGCATTATGTACATAATTCAAAAAAAGAAGTTTTAAAGATATCATTTCATATACTCTGATGTTAGCATGTACGCGTAAAAGTACTTTCTAGTATAAGTGTTAGGAAAAAGATTACAGAAGGAGGTAACTATTCGTTAGACGTATTATAACAATGAGCGGTTGGACAATTCTTGCACACGAATTCTAGAAGCGAACTGCGCTTATTCATTTCTGGAATTACACGCTCTTATCTCGCATAGTTGTGTAACAAATATTTCTCATTGGGTCCGTGCTGCACTAAACAGGGACGTAACTTGTATGCTTCTCCCGTCCACAATTCTAAATTCTAATATTTAAAATTATTTAAGTACATGTACGAAAGTAACTGATTTAGAACAATAAAACTCTTGTTGCATCATTTTGCCAGAATAACGTTTGATAACGTTTATGCGTATTTTTTAATTCTATTTGTATCGCATTGATTAATTGTAAAATTCGAATTCATAGTAGTTTGCAGTAAAGCATTAATTACATTATTTTAACAGATATGTCGCATAATTTCATAGAGATTATTAATTTGCACACGAGAAATGCAAGCACTTTCAAAACTTAAAAATATATTGCTAGTGTTATATGCTTGTATATAGTAATTCAAGAATGTAGGAAGCAGAAAGGTGTATTTTGAGTTTCTGAACATGGGTAAATATAGAACGCGATCTAAAAATATGTTCGAAACTAAAAAAATTTGCAGTTTATCGAACAGAACTCACTTGAATTAGTACGCTCCTGATTTGCGCATGGCACGCTTAATGCTCGTTGCACACGCTGTTAGGTACAGAGCGGAGGTGGTAGGGATTGATCGATAAATTCGAACGACCAGGACGGAGCTAACAAGTGATCTCTCAGTCTTCACAGAATTCGAAGCTTTGACTACAAACGGAACGAAAATGCCGGGACCAGCTTGCGACAAATGCTCAGGTATGTATTATTTTCTGATACTATTAAGCCTTGTTTTTATATGCAATATCATGCAATTTGGTTGTAATGATTTAAGTGCATGCAATGCGCATTAAATGACTGCGAAAGCTGGTGTAATCCTATTTACATTTGTGCAACATTAAAGAAAATCTTGACAATTAAATATTAGCATTTCACACAAATACGTGCGAGACACAGTAATTCGTAATTTTTGAAAAGATTGCAATTTTTGTAACACGCCGGTAATCTGCGATTGACGTTACTACATGTTAGTACCTACGTCTACGCAGGAAGTAACAAAACAATTTATTCATCAGAGGCAATTACGGGTAACGGGCAATTGATAAGCTTAAGCAGTCTGTCTGTAGTGTACAACCCGAATCTCATTCTCAATAAATCTGTTCGCTACTTTCACAGCTGCTTGTGTTTTATTATAGTATTTTTAATGTTTTATTTTATTGCAGACAAATGCCAAC